TTGAAACAGTTAACGACCACCAAAAAGAGAGAAGGGAAGGCGATCGATGCTGATATTAATTAGCCATAACCCATAAGCTCATGGGATTCGTTCTCTTGGTCTGGGGGCTTATGGCCACTGCCTCCTGGGACAGTCCAGTCAATCAGCATGATAGACAGGTAGCCTTCCGAATGTTTGTGGGAAAGCTCCATTATCTTGTTTGTTTGTTTGTTTGTTTGTTTGATCACCTTCCTTTCGAGCCCTTTAGTGTAGCATCGCCTACCCCACTTCCTCTCCTTGCCACCTTCCTCCCTAACCCTGCCCGACCCCTATGTTGGTGTAAATACTGCATTTTTTAAAAAAATCTCAGATGGTTGATTAGTCTAAGGCAGTGGTTCTCAACCTGTGGGTCGAGACCCCTTTGAGGGTCGAACGACCCTTTCACAGGGGTGGCCAGATTCATCACAGTAGCAACATGACAGTGATGAAGTAGCAACGAAAATAATTTTATGGTTGGGGGGTCACCACCCCATGAGGAACTGTGTGAAAGGTTTGCGGCATGAGGAAGGTTGAGAACCACTGCGCTAAGGTGTGCCTACCTCACTAACGCTCCTCTTAAGAACTATTGTTGGGCTAAAAATGGGTCACCACAGGGGCTGCAAAGATGGCCATTCCATTTCCTCACTTTCTGAAGCTCTCTTGTCATCTAAGCTTATGGTCAACCTCCCAGTACAGTGCGTAATGCCTGCAGCCCCAACAGCTGCATCTGGGACGAGAGAAAGAAGGAAACGCAAGCGTTCAAGAAGGACCTAGTGCCCCCTGCCCCCTCCCATGCCCACCTCTTGATGGGAGGGCACCACCTGGGCTCCAGGCCACCCTTTCCTCACTCTCGCTGCCCCTGTGACAGTGGTGTGCGGTGTTGTCTGTGTATGCTAACTCCATCACCCTTTCCAGCTCACTGCCAATAAACAATTTAAGGCGGGGGGAAAGTGCCAGAAGAAGCCAGCTCCTAGCACAATCACTACGGGTTTGGTAGGCGCAATTGTACAGCGATAATAAGTAAATATTATAGTAAAGTTATAGAGAGCATGAGAGATAAAAGAGATATATAGAAATAAATGGAGTCAGACACATATTATGGTAGCATGCTCACCTCAGCCCCGCTTGGTGGTCCACGTGGAGGGAGGGAGGGGGAACTTTAATGCTCCCCAAGCTTTTATACTCTCTGGGGACATTGAGGACGTGCAAGCCCCCACATTACAGGTGAAGATATACATCACAGGAAAGGGTTGTGCTACAGGTATTACAGTGATGGGAGGGGGTGATCTAGGGACATATGCACTACAGAAGGAGGAGGGATTGGGGGTGTATGTGCGGCAAGATAGGCGGATCCTAGATTTCTGGTAACAGCTTAACTTGATTTTGGGTCTTCATAGGAACCATTATCAGTTGGGTGTGAACTCCGCCCACAGGAGCCGAGCTAATGGCCTTAGGCTCCAGAGAGAGGTAGTCCATTGTCTCCAGCAGCAGGGACTAGGCCCAGCCCTGCTGTGGGATGAGACAGCAGTCTGGCAGCAAGTGTCTGACTTCCCCCCACAGAAAAGGAACCAGGTGACAGTGCTAATTGTCTATAGGAGCCACTGTTCTTCCTTGAGACCTGAGGAACTAGATGGTGCCTGGCCGTCACTCCTGAATGATCAGGAACACAAAAGATGGATTTTTCTCAAAGTGGGGGAAATGTACAACAGAACTTCCAACTCTTAAAAGAGTACAGACTTACTGGACCTACTGAAGTGGGAGGGGCCTCTGAGACTGTAGCCCTGATTGCTCCTTAAACCTTGAATCGAAATGATGCCCTGAAGCTAATTTTAAAGTAACGGTTCAGCCCAGAGAGAGAGCTTGTGACCCTTGGGTACTGCGTAACTTCGAATAAACACCCAAGTCCGAAGAGTCAACAGCTATTTTATGGAAAGGTTATGGGGAGATTACATAATTGGAAGTAAAACCACTAGAGCTGACTGCTGACACAAGGCCAACAATGCCCCTGATCGAGCAGTGTAACCAGCCCCCACCCACCCACCCACCCGTCTAGAGAGTGTACAATGGGGACAGGTTTTGCTATGTATAGTCACCAAAAATAAAATGAACAAGGGGAGATTACGTATGTAAACCTACCCCCCACCCAAACCTAATTCACAATTTGAAATAATAGTAATTTCCAGAAAGAGTCTAGAGCTGGCATTAAGTTACCGGAAAATCCTAAAGCTCCTTTTTTGGCCCCTGAAAACATCAGGAGGAAACTAACTGAAACATGACCGTGGCCATCTTTGCTGAGGTGTTGTGATAGTTTTTCCTTCGTTGCTTTGATTTTTGCTTTGTGATCAATTTGCCAAGCTCCCTGCATTTTTTTAATCTAAGTGTACACCATTTAAAAACTTATTTTTTAGAAGTATTAAAACCACCCCCAATGCCATCAACTCCGTGTTCTTATCAATGAAACGGTGTACAGAGAGCAATAACATCACAAATGAAGGCTACAAGGAATATTTATTGAGCACCTGCTGCATAGCCAGCATTCTGGGAGAGGCTGAAGGGCATAGAGCAGTAACGTGCTCCCTGCCCTCAAGAGGTGTACAGTCTGAGGTGGAGAGCCAGGGGCCCAGCACACGTGGGCAGCTGGGGGGAAACAGTCTGGGCCAGGAAAGTCTAGGAGCTGGAAGGCGGTTGGGGTTCAGACCCACTAAGTGCTTTGGTGTTGCCAGAACTCAACCAGGGAAGATTTTCCCGGTAAGCAAGGTTCAGGACAGGCTTACTTAGTCATCTGTAGTGAAGAGTTCCACTAGGTTTCATCACAGTACTTGCAGGGCACTCCCTCCCTGTCAGGGATTGTCAGTTTGAAGAGGCTTTGATTCTGCGGGGAAGAGCTATGGGGTAGGACAGAGACAGGGACCACCGTATCTAGAAGCAGAATCGGAAGCAAGCCCGTGCCTCCCTGGCTTCCTGGAGACCCTGACACGGCTCAGCTGTCAAAGGGGGGAAAGACCGCTCTGGAGCCCTATTTCCACATCACCCCGGTGAGGATGCCATCTGCACACAGCGCTCACTGGCTCTGCACTCGCCAGCTTCTCATGAGACTCCTTGTTCAGCTGCTATTCAAAGTGCAATGAAATGGGGAAAGGGTGGGACAGATGGGGACGGTTCTCAGGTGGGTTCTAGGGCCCCGGTGTAACACGCTCCCTCCCGGAAACTTCTCTCCTGTGCCCCCACATGCATACCCTTAACAAAGGTCCCACCCACTTTCAGGAGGCCCGTCAACTAGCTAGGGTAAAAAGGTTTATGTAACCTTTTCTAGGGTCCCCACCTCAGAGCTGAAAGAAGAGGAGGTGGTCGCTGCTTGAGCTGCCTGAGGTAGAACTGGGGATCCCTACTTCTAAGATGACCCTTCCCCACTAGTTCATTGAGTTGGGGGAGGGGTGTCAGGCCCCCTGGGCTTGCCACCAGGGCTGAGCGGGTACTAGAGGGAATGAACGTGAAGAGGGGAGCAGAGGGAGACTTGAGAGTCCAGATAGGAGAGAATTGGGGCTCCTGGGAGGGGTTAGCAGGGCTGGGGATCAAACATTGGGGCGGGCTCCCCTGTAGAGGGCACAGGGGTCTGGACAGGGCCCCTACAGGACCCTGCCTTCCCAGGACAGAGGCGGGTGCCATTACAAGTTTACCCCTCCCAGGTCTGGAGGAGGTGAGGGGACCCTGACATTTCTGGTGATGCCCCACTCTGCCAGGCTCTTGAAAGTGCTGTTTACTTCTTAAATGATAAAGGATTCCAGTCTGAGAATCTGGGGTGGGGGAGAAGAGGGGGTAAAGTTCACCCAGCCCATGTCACTGGCAGCAGCCAGCGGAAGGGGCCAGGGCCCTCCTAGAGTGCCACCCAGCAGGTGAAGAGGGGGAGGCAGGTAACAGCTGACCAAAAGCCGGCTCTGCTCCTGGCCTCCCACAGAAAGGACATGGAAAGTCTAGGATGAGGGGATTTTAAATAAGGGTTCTTATAATAAAAAATGCCCAGCTCTCTGATGGCCTACTATTTGGTTGCTGCCCTTCTCTCTGTCTCTCTCTCTGTCTCTCTCTCTGTCTCTCTTTTTAAGTAATTCTAATGGCAGAGGCTGGAGGGGTGGCGTGGGGAGCAGGGTATGTACATAAGGAGGAGTTTAAATTAAAACACAAATAATAATTAAGACACACAAACTGAAGGGCAAATCAGAGGGAGTGGGAGGGGCTGTAGGGAGCAGTGGTCCCTGGGGCGCTGGGCCTCCCGTGAGCAGGTTACGGCTTCCTCTTGCAGTAGACCAGCCGGCGTTTGGAGTGGTAGAAATCTGTGGAGAGAGACCAGAGGTCAGCATGGCCAGGCAGAGGGGTTGCCCAACAGAGCCACCCTACCAAGGCCTTCACTTCCCAGAGATGGTTGGTAAGCTGGACCCACAGCCACAATTCTGCTCTGAGGTCAAGCACCAAGCTCTATGCGGTTCCTGAGAGGGGAACCCGATGGAATCGAACACACAGCCCCTTGGTCACCCAGTGGCTGCTGTGGCGTGCCACTGAGTGGGTTCAAGTCCTGGGGCCCGACAGGACAGTGCAAAAGACGACTGCCCCGGGGCACTTCCCAGGCTGTCCTCATGACAGGATCAGGATGCCAGGCTTTTTCTCCTGCTCCAGCAGAGTGACTGGTGGGTTTGAACTGCTGACCTCTGGGTTCCCAGCGGACTGCTTGACCACTGTGCACCAGGGCTCCTTTCAGTCACCCTAACAGCATGTTTTGAGGGAACCCTGCTGGCCCGTCGGGCCGCTAACCACCAAGGTCAGCAAGTGGAAACCACCCGTGCTCCCGGGGGACAGGCGAGGCCTCGCTGTTCCCAGAGAGAGTTGCAGGCCTTTTTCCCAGGGTACCTCTTGGTGGACTCAAGCTGTCAACCTCTCGCTTAGCATGTAAGAAGTTCCCCCACAATGCCAGCTAAAGGAGCCCTGGTAGCATGGTGGTTACACATTAGGCTGCTAACTGCGAGGTCAGCCGTTCGAAACCAGCCACTCCAAGGGAGGAAGATGGGTTTTCTATTCCTGTAGAGAGTTCTAAACTCAGGAATTCACAAGGCAGTTCTACCCTGTCCTGCAGGGTCACTATGAGTCGGCATCAATGCGATGGCAGTGAGTTTGTTTGTTGGCGGGGGTGGGGTTGGGGGCGTTGGTAGCTGGTCATAGCCATGTGACCTCAGACAAATCGTTTCCCCTCTCCTGTCCAGTTCTCCCCACTAAGCTAGATTGTTTCTCGGCATCGCTGGCACACCATCCCAGGAGCCCCCATCTCTACACCGGTCCTCACCTGTCATGCTGGTCTGTCCTCGTTTCCGGCCCTGCGGTGCGCTAGACCCACTTGGGGACACTTCAGGGCGCTCAGGGGAATGAGACACAAGGGTACAGGACAGCGACAGGTCCACGTGGTCTCCCTGGCTTGTCCCCTGAAGCAAGACAGTGGAGGGGCAGGGCCGCTTGCCCCCTCCCAGGTCATCATGGCCCCCCCAAGGCCCCGAAGGGCGGTAGAATTTCGGCAGGCCCAGGCCATGCACACGCTCCCAAACATAGTTGCCCTCCAGCGGGGTCTCGGTGACAAAGTCGAAGTTCCAGCGATCACAGGCCTCCTTCAGGCAGCTGGCCATCAGCGCGTCGCAGTCACGGCGCACCTGCTCATCGTCCACGGGGCCGAAAAGACGGCGGCACACCTTGCTGCTGCACGGAATCTGGCGGGCGTCGGACATGGCACCTGGATGGAGACACAAGCACCAACACCGGTTACACGGAGAAACGAGGCTTTCTGAAAGATTGACAGTCTTGGAAAGCTGCAGGGACGGTTCCGCTCGGTCTCTCAGGTTGCTATGAGTCAGAATTGGCATGACAGCAGTCAGTGGGTGAGGGAGGATCACTGGCAATTGACTCGAGGTAAGTAGGTTACCTGACCAGGTAACCTTTTCGATATGACTTCAGGTGAGGCCTGGCTCTGAGCCTCTCCTGCCAACCTCCCTCCTCCCCGAGAACCTCACGTGAGAAACTGTCCCTGGTTCCCCACCACTTCCCTCCCCCGGGACCTGAGCCCATTAAAAGGCACTGGGTGGACCCTGGGCCAAGCCAGCCTAGCTCCTCCAAGGTCACTGGGGGAGTGGGCAGCTGAAGGGCAGACTGATGTCAACAACGATGGGTTTATTGCAATGGCAGGGACCAGAGTCCTGTTTACCATCTGGTATTATCAGCTAAAACCAATTTGTTTTCCACCCTGAGGTGTCCCGAGCAGGTGTGAATGCCCCAAATATGTGTGAATTGCCAGAGTCCAGCCATTTCCCAACTCAGCCAAGAGGTCAGCTCCCAACTGAATGGACTAGCAGCTTTGCCCACAGTGGACATTAGCTGGCCTGTGCCAGGTAGCCCTACTCTGCCATTTGAAAGTGCCCTGGCACCGGGGGCCAGAAAGATCTAATTCTGGCTCACCTGGTTCCTTCCTAAAATGTGTGCATGGTACTTCATAGCTCTAGGTCTCAGCTTCCCCGTCTGTAAATTGGGGCTGTTTGGCAGTCCAAAGAACAGGGCATGGAGATCCGCTAAGGCAACCGGGCAGTGGGTCCTCACAGGGACTCTTCAGAGTCAAAGGCAAAGGCTCTGGGGCCAGACTGGCTAGGTTGGAGTCTAGGTAGGCTCTGCTGGGTGACCTTAGACAAGTGGCTTAGCCTCTCTGGGCTCTAGTGTAAAACTGTAAACTGAGGCAGTGATAGTGAATGTCTCCGAGGGTGAGTGTGAGGATTAACTGAGTCAATGGAGGCAACGTGCTTAGAGTTAACATCAAGCTAAGCGCTTGGGGAATGGGAAGCATTATTATCTCTCAGCCTTCAGTTTTGGCTGAGTCTTCTCCTGCCTCCACCCCATCATTGCCCCCACCACACCCCACCTCACCCCTCAACTATCAACTCCTTCAGAGCACAGCTGACAGGTGCTGTGGGCTGAGGGCCTTTCCCAAGGCTGTCATCAGCCGGTGGATGGCCCGGGGCTGGGGAGGAGTTGGGTGGGGCAGGGCAGGACCCTGATTTCTCCCGGGCTGAGCCACATCCTGCCAGGCACATAGGGTGACCTAAGTCTAGACACCTTGAAGTCCTTGCTCGACGCAGCCTACACCCATGAAACTATTTTTTTTTAACAGGAAGAGAAAATCGAAGATGACCAGCCTTCCCAGCTAACTCTCCTCCCACTTCAGGTAAGGCAAAACTGAGTGTGAGGTTGCCCGGGCTGCACTGGCTCCTTTTGACCCAAGAGGTTCAGAGAAGCTAAGTAACTTGCCCAGCGTCACACAGCAGCACGTCTTTGGCAAGAACTGGGTTTATCTGGGGAAAAGTCCCGACTTGCAGGCTCTGAGAATGGGAACTCTGCTGAGCATTTTCCCCCAGGGTTAGCCAGATTCGGACGTGGCACCACCTGCCGCCCCTACAACGTCATCCGGCTGCTTTGCCAGCTCGGAGAGATGAAGAGCTTTTGCCAACCAAACACACCACTAAAGAAGGCAAGGGACATGACCTCATCGAGGGGGGTCACACGATGCAGTGGGCAGAGCCCTCAAATAACCTTTGCCCACTCTCTTCAAGGCCAGGGGGGAAAAATGGAAACTCACTGCCAGCGAGTCCATTCCGATTCACTGCAGCCCTCCAGAACAAGACAGACTGCCCTGGTGGTTTTCTGCGACTCTTTGTGGGAGTAGAGCGCCTCCGCGTCCTCCTCAGGGCAAGGGGTGGGATTCATGTATACATTTTTATGTGCCAGGGGCTGGTCTAAGTAAGTGACCGATGTCAGTCCTCCTTGCACATGGGTATACATTAGCTCCGTTCCACGGAAGAAACCAGGGTTCAGAGAGGTTAGTAAAATGGCCCAAGGTCACACAGCACACAATCCATTTGAATCCAGGCCTGTCTGCCCTGGGCTCTGTGCTCTCCGCTCCTGCACCCTAGTCTGTCTCCAATTTTCAAGTTTCTTACCCAGATACACCCAACAGAATGACGTGGGGGGCTTTTCCCAAAGTAAGCACTAATGCCCTTCCTCCCTCTGGCTGCTATTGAACTGCCCCTGTGGGTGTCATGAGAGGAAATCAAGGCTTCCTACTCCCACAAAGGGCCACCATCTCGAAAACCTCCTTCCCTTCCCCACGGGGATTCAAATTGATGGGGACCCAAGCAAGTGACTTAAATTTGGGAACCCAGCTCCCCAAAGGGCTCTGAGGGCCTTTGATTGGAGGGCTGGTATTCCTGGGCTTCAAGCCACTGAAGATGGATCCTACAGAATGCCTCTCCAGGGCCTCTCCTTCCCCATGAAAATCTGTTCTCACCCCTTTATCCTTACTTCCAGCTCAGAAAAAAAGACACAAACCATTCTTTCCCTTGTCGGATCTGCTGCCTTAGATCAAACTAACGAACGACAGCGCTCCGGCCACACTCTGACCCTGGGGCAAATAGTAAGCGCTCAGGAAACACCGTAGGAACCGGCTGGTGGTCTCCGGAAAGCGGCGGCGCGAGGAGAGGGACGTTAAATGCGCGCGGGGTGCTGGCGGGAAGAAGCGGATTCCGGTGGCTTGCTATTCTGGCCCGGGCCGGGAGAGGGCGCGAACGCCCCGGACATCACGCGCGGGGCCGGGCGGGGCCGGCGGGAGGGAACTAGTGGTGGTGAGTCAGTTTCCGGCCCCCAGCTCGGCTCGCGCTCCCGCCGCGCGTCACCGGGGCAGGGAAGGAGGAGACTGCGACTGCGAGGGTGGGTCCGCGGGCCGCGAACACGTCACGCTGAGCTGGCCCGCTTCCGAATCCCCCGCCGCTGTTGGGAAACCGCGCGTTCCCGCGCCGTCTCTGGTTCCGTCTCGCTCTCCCTCTCACGCGCGAGCACACACACACACACACACACGCCCGCCCGCCGAGATCTGGCCCCTCCACCTATCTCCACGCCCAAAGCACGAAATGAGTCAGATCCATGGAAAATAAAAATAGACAGGAACAACGAAAACAAAACCGCTCCAAAGTCCTGCCCGAAACGCGACGTGGAGGGAAGGTGGAGAGCTGCCCAGGCACCCCGAAGTGTCAAACTCCATACCAAGGTTCTATGCCCATACAAGAGGGGCGTCAAGCGTCCACCAGGCGCCCAGGGCCGCTCCCCCAAGTGACTGGTGGTGCCCGCGGTCCGAGGTCCGCGCTGGGTGGCTACGCCGGGCGGCGACTCGCCCTTTTACACCCCTCAACCCTTAGAGAGGGAGTTTAGGGCTGGGGCTGGGGCTCCCCGAGGTCCTACAAGCATCTGATGGGTCAGGGATAGGGTCCGCAGGCTCGGAAGCCCCACCCCGCAAAGATGCGCCCCCACCCCACTCCCATACCGGTGGGTGTGGGCTGCGCGCCCAGGCTCGGCTCGCTCCGGCCCTGGATCCCCCAGTCCCAGCCCCAGGACCAGGCTGGATGGACGGGGCTCTCCTGGTGGCCCTGGGCCACGGGTGATGGACAGGCCCCTGCGCTGCTCGGACTCAGGGCGAGCCCGCCCAGCACGGGACCGGGGCCCCGGGTTTCCGAGGGCGCGCCGCGGGGCGGGGGCCGGACACCGAGTCCCGGACCTCTCGGTGCCCCGGCTTCCCTGGGAACACAGTGTACCAGCCAAGTAGGCCACTGAGCTGATGGGGGAGTGTGACCGCGGAGGGGCGGGGGGGACTTCTGGGGAGCCACCGCCTCCCGGCCCGGCAGGGTTCTGATCTCACCCGGCCCCCTCCCGGGGTCTCCTTGTCATGAGTCACCTCTTCGCTTGCTGTTATGGGACGGGACATGCCCTGGCACGTTCCAGAGGGCCGGGGGACACAGCCCGCGCTGACCTCCGCGCCAACCGGTGGCGTTGGGGATCTGGACCTCTGGGGTCTTAGGTGGTACCAATTGGATCGAAAGACCGAGCGAGAGCCACCCGGGGACTGAAACCCCTGGAACCTGCCGGCGTCCCCGGGGGTTCCCCCCACGCCCCGCCACGGCGGGCGCCTCCGCAAGTGGCGTCCCGGGTCCAGGGCACTCCCCACTGCGGCCACTCCGAGGGCGGCCCCACCCACGATGTGCCCAGCCGGAGCGAACTCTGGGCGGGAGGCGTGCGGAGCAAGCGACCCCCTACTCCAGCACCCGCAGTCTCGGGTCCCCAAACAGCCCAGACCCCGACGCGCGCCTACCCACCGGTGCGCCCACCGCCCAGCGCAGGGACTCACGCCCGCCATTCACCTGCCGCAGAAACCGCGGTGAACACCGCGCGCGCGGGGGCACACACACAATGCAGGGCGCGCGCGCACACACACGCCACACTGAGCTGGACGTTTCCAGTCCGGGGTCAGCACTCTCCTGCCACTGCTCTCTCACCTTGTCCGAGTGTCTGCGCGTCTGTCTGTACAAATCGGCTCCTGGCTTCGGGTCTCCGAGGGACCGGCTCTGGTACCCGCTCGCACTTGAGCTGGCTCGGCGGTGCGCAGCCTTGATATAGTCCCGCTCGGGCACGCCTCGCGCGCAGCCGGGCCCAACGCGCGCCCCGGCCCGTCCGCCCTCCCCCGAGGCCTGGGCGGGGTTTCGGCGACCAGGACAGCGGCAGGTCTCCCAGAACGCCTCGAACTGCAGAGGGCGCTTCCTTTGCGCGCCTGGCTGTGCGCGCACTACCCTTTGCTCCACTAATGAGAGTCAGAAATCCGGCCTTTTCCAGTTGGAGAGTGGGTGGGCGCTCCGCAGGAGGGGGCCCCTGTCCCCCGCCCCCTTTGTAGCCCACCGCCGACCGATTTTAGGCAAGGACTTACCCCACCGAGGAGCGACATTAATAAATAACCACCCAATAAAGAATAAATCATAAAAACAAGGTGCTTCGTCTGGTCATTCCCAGAAAAGCCCACCACTAGTCCTGCGGAGCGCTCCCCAGGCCATCACTCCGCCAAGCTCTTAGGGGCAACCCGAAAGTCTAGCAGCATCTCTGAGGCCCCAACAGAATCCAATCCCCTTTATTTCAAGATGAGAAAACAGGCCTAGTGAACCTGGGTGATACAAAGTGGTGGCTTGTCAACTGCCTCCGAGAAAATTAAGAACGGTCTACAGTGTGTGGAATCAAAGGGACAACCGCAGCTCTCAAAGAGGAGAGACAGTAAGCTCCCGGAGCAGGAGAGTGGATGTTAATGGGGAGGCAGACCCGGAAGAGGAATTGGAGAAAGTTACTACTCCCTCGAAATCCATAAGCAACATCCCTGAAATGTCCGTGCAGAGGTGTTGGAAGTGGCATCTATTTCTCCATGTAGATTCTCAACTATGACAAAATCTTTTAAGTGTTGGGGGAGGGGGGGTGAACAGCATTTGGGTAGCGAGTTATCTATCTCCTGGCTATTCCTACGCACCCTCAAATTTACTGTGGGGGAAACTGAGGCTCAGAGACCTTATGTGGCCCAACTCAAGTGCCATGGAGAATAAATGGCTGTAGCAGATTCAGAACTCAGGCCTTTGAGGTCCCACCATGGCTCTGCCTGCTGTCTGCTTGGTTTCAGTGATGCTAGATGGTCTGGGGGACTTGCCAGGGTTCCTCATTTCCAAGATGAGCAAAGTGACATTGATGAAAGTTGCCTACTGGGGTGCTTCTAACAGCTACAGAATTGGGTGGGACGTTCAGCTGTTCCCTCTCACCCTCACACCTTAGCCCCCATCAGCCCCCACCTTTGTTTCCCCCCTTCACCAGAAGCATTGCTCTTTCTGCTTTAAAAATCATTACAAAATGTGATGGTCATCATTAAGGTTACTGACTGGTACGTGCCAGGATGATGGAAAAGACAATTTTGTTACCTATATATTTACCGTGCATGCGCAGGGGGGGAGGCCTACTGCCATAGACTCAATTCCTACTATATATATATATATATATTTTTTTTTTAATATTGCAGAGAACAGAGAGTAAATCTGAGCAGCAATCCATTTTAAAACATAGCATACAGGCTCTTGGAACAGCTGTATTGACTGATGAGTCTGGAAATTCCTGCCTGGACATGCCCAGTCTTCTCCCTCTCTAAGGCAGACGGACTCAGAGAACAGGCTTCCCCCTCTTCTGGTGAGATGGGGGCCCCAGACAAGTGGGAGGGCACAGACTCAGACCCCCTCCTCTGCCAGACCCCTGAATCAGGTCAACATTGTAGCTGGGCTTCAGCGGGTCCCAGGGAAGTCTGAGATCCCAGGAGTCCCTTCCCCTAGTGCCTACCCCCACCTCTCCTGCCCCAGCACCCAAGACCTGGGTTGTCAAGAGTCCAGCAGAGGACAACCACATACTCCAGCTGCCTTGGATCCCCCCAGCTTTGAGGCATTTCAAATAGACTCGACATTGTCTGTCTGTTTACTTTGGATTTTTTTTTTCCCCCCTTAATGAAGGCTTGTCTTGAATTATTTAGAGTTTTGTGGTCCTGAGATTCACAATGAGATAATTCTTTTTGTTGTTGTTATTGGGAAGTGATTTTTAAAAATAACTTCTAGCTCCCCACCACCCCCCATCATGGAATTCTGCAAATATTTAGTAAGCATCTACTGAGTATCTAGGACTGTTGAGCACTGTATTTTATTTTTCAAGGTTTGCAGTGTGTAGCCAGGTGCGTCTCTCCAGAGAGGATTGCTGTGTTGAAGAGGGCAGAGGAGAAGCTCCTTACAGGTCACAAGAGCCGGCACCCACCTTGCACATACACCTGCGCACACCAACACCTGTGCCAGACACCAGGCTAATCCCCCAAGCCTACTGCAAGCCACGTTTTCCATGTAAAGAAACTCAGGTCCCTGAAAGACTTGCACTTCGGGAGTTCAAGATCTCCCTGGAGTCTCTATCTCCTGCGGCCCCCTCCCCACCACAAAGTGGGCAGCTGAGGGCAACACAGTCACCAGCCCCTGCTATACCCTGACTGGCCCTGAGGGCCACAGGACAGAATGCGACCACAGTCTGCTGCCCAGGCCTGTTTCCCCAGGAGGCCAAGGAGTAAATAAGGATGGAGAAAGGGAGGTCCAGGCTGAAGATAGGCGGCCAAGACCCAGCCCACCCTACCCCAGCTGTCTCCACTAGCCGAGTGGAAAAGTGGGAAGCCCAGGCTTGAGGAAGGAAAGTGTAAGCAGGGCCCCTTGGTGGCTGCAGGAGGGAGGGGCCCGCCCACCCCCTGGGAAGAGAGAGGAAGTGCTGGGGATAATGTCACCGTTTCTCAGAAGAAGACCGGGGAGTCCCGAACAGGGACGGCAGCTTTCGGAAGAATTCACCTCCACACAGAAGTGAGACCACAGAGGAGAGGCCGCACCACAGAGATAGTACATTCGTGAGCCGAAAAACTCAGCCCTGCTTTCAAAAAGAAAGAATGAGGATGCGACTGGGCGCCCTCACCCTCACCTGATGGGGGCTGTGTGCAACCAGCACTCGGGTCAGCACTAAGCAGTGAGTATCATCGTAGTATTCGGGTGGGTAACACCTCGGTGCTTGGCTTCACACGAGAAAGAATTCACGCCGAAGCCTGGTTTGTGATCCAAGTGGGGTTTTATAAAGGATGGAAGAAGTTTCAGGTTTTACAGTCTCAAAGAGTACACGCTATTTCAGGGAAGTGTGTCAAACCGCGCTTCAGCAGGGCTGGGGTCCACCACTGAACACGGGCAACTTCGTGGGACGTTGAGTCCACACGTGGTGACCTGAGGCCAGAGAGACAACGAAGGCGCGGCCGTACAGGGCAGGAGCAGGGTCAAGGGGAGAGGGGCAGAAGGAGGACAGAAGCCATCCCACTGGCAAGGTATATTAAACCTCTGGTAGGGGAGGCGTGGTCTAAGGTATTGGTTGACCCCATTGGCTGAATCGAGCCTACCTGGCTAGGGAAGGGTTGTGGGGTGCTGAATTGGAGCGTGCCCAGTTAAAGTCTTCATGGGTGGCTAAGGCTTGCCTGATTTTTCTTCCCAACCTCCTGTAGGGGCCTTGTGCAGGCATGGTGTGGGACAGCCCCTCCTATTCTGCTACCTCACAGTAGTAGTGTGGACAGAGGTCCCCGGATGAGCAGAGGTCTCCCCAGGAATGAGTTTCTCTGGCCACTCTACCCTGCCTTCACTCCTCTCCCTGCTGGTTCACTGCCTCCTGATCCTTCATGAGCCAACCCTCATGAGCCCTTGAAGCTGAGGGCTTTCAGGGTTCGGTTCCCAGAAAGAACTCTAGGGAGCAAGCCTCTCTCTATGCCTCACTGGCCTGCGTGACCTGTGGGTCCCGTACAGCTTTGGAGCTGGGAACCTAGCGGGATAGGCCCATGTTTTATCCATCTTTGTACCTTCTGGGCCCAGCAGCCGGTGGCCTGGGGCTCAGTGAATATTTATGCAAGGGGCCACTTGAGGCCTGCACTCTGAGGTTCGGCTTCAGCGTCCCTGCCTCTGGACCCTTTCTTTTCTAGTCGCCCAGCTGCTCATTCATTTAGAAATCGTAACAAGTAACACCCGCTGAACCCGCCTCGGGATCAGCTGCCGATTGAGCAATGGTGATCCGTGGAGCTTTGCCGTTCAGCCAGAGACCTGGGAAAATACAAACCACTGACACCTTCCAGCGTGTTCCTCTCCTGGCCCTCCGTTCTCCACTCCAGGGTAAACAATGTCCTGAGTTTGGTCTAACTTTCCTCTGTCTCAAATCTCCTTCCATCAGCCATTTTTCTCTGTGCTCTCCCACCTTGCCGGGCCCCACTCCTTGCAGTAAGCTACTGCTGACCAAACCTCTGGTTGATTTGGGGAAGTGGCTCGCTCTTCCAAGTCTGCCTTAGACGGAAAGCCCTGCGGAAACCGGTTTGGCATCATAGCAACACGCAGCCTCCACTGAGCGGAGGGTGGCAGTTGCTCACAAAGCTCAGTCACTGGGAATCGAACCGAGGCTGGAAGGTGAGAATTCTACCTCTGAACTGTCACTGGCCCCAGACTCCTACTACAGATGGGAAAGCCGCAGCCCCAGAAGGTGCTGGCTTGGACTGAGGTGGCTCTGGATGATCCGGAACTCGGAATATGATCTGAGAGGCTGGAGGGCAAAGAACCCCAGTCACTATCCCCATGACCAGGCAGACATGAGCCTCCCTCACTCCCAAAGCAGCAGCTCCTTTTGATCCAGGGCTTTTTTTTTTTTAACCTAGTCAGCAGCATCAAAGTCTACTGAGCAGTCATAACACTGACATGCAGGAAAATCCCTTATTCAGCAAATCTGTCTGCAACCCCCCCTGGAGCCGTACCAGCAGGATTCTGAAGAAGAAAAGCCATTTTATTGCTAGAGATTCAGCCACGGAAACCCTGACGGGACCTTAATGGAGTGGGTGGACCCAGCCTGCAGTCGGGGTGGGAGTTGGGGGTACAGCTTGCCGAGGTGAGACTTTAGGGGAGGCCCCGTCCTCTGTCACCAGGAACCCACTGCCATCCAGACAATTTGGAGGCTAGAAATCGGT